GCTGAGTATATTGAGAAGAAAAGGGGAGAGAGAAGGCATGTTCTCTGTGGGAACAAAGAAGGGGAGATTTCTTTAAGGGAAGGGGAAAATTGATAATGGGAAGACATTTGTGTTAAATTTTGTAGGGTGCTAGCAAATTTGGGACCCCTTACATTGCCGGTGGCTGTTTTTATTTGGTGCATATTGCATGATCCAATCTAGGCAGTTGAGCATAATTTCAAAGAACAGGTGGTGATTTCTCTTCTTAGCGGATAGTGTGGCTTTGGGGTAAGTGTATTTATTTCAAAGCCTTCTTGGGGTAAAAATTAAAGGCATTCATAAAATACGTAAGGTGCAGCACTGCCTATATTTTTGGTCCCAGGGGACAATACAAGGTAACCTCAAACATACTAGGGATGATAGGAAATGTACAAAAAGTAGGAAACACTTATTTAAATCTATCAGCTGTGTTCCATTACTGAAAAGTGAAAGGTTTGAGCTTCTGAGAAGTCTGATTTTGTTGTCTAATAGCAGGAAGTTCTGTTAACCAGAAGTACACAAAATTTCTTGGGACCTGAGCTCTAAGGGAAGTTGTTACAGATGGTTCTGGAACATGCAAAAATTAACCTAGACAAAGACCTTATACCCTTGGGGCGCCTGGGTGGCTCAGTTGTTAAGCGTCTGCCTTCGGCTCAGGTCCTGATGCCAGGGTCCTGGGATCGAGCCCCGGATCGGGCTCCCTGCTCAGCGGGAAGCCTGCTTCTCCCTCTCCCACTCCCACTGCTTGTGTTCGCTCTCTCACTGTGTCTCTCTCTGTCAAATAAATAAATAAAATCTTTAAAAAAAATACCTTATACCCTTCACAAAAATTAACTCAAAATGGACCATAGACCTAAATGTAAAATGCAAAACTATAAAAGGAGATAACATAGGAGAAAATCTGGAGGGCTGTGGCTTTGGCAATGATTCTTTAAATGCAATACCATGAGCAGGATACATGAAAGAAAGAATTGATAAGCTGGATTTCATTAAAATTAAAATGTTCTGCTCTGTGAAAGACAATGTCAAGAGAATTAGCAGACAAGCCACAGACTGGGAAAACATATTTGCAAAAGATATATCAGATAAAGGACTGTTGTATAAACTTACAAAGAACTCTTAAAACTCAACAATAAGAACACAAAAAATTTGATTAAAAATGGGCCAAGGGGAACCTGGGTGGCTCAGTCGTTGGGCGTCTGCCTTTGGCTCAGGTCATGATCCCAGGGTCCTGGGATCGAGCCCTACATCAGGCTCCTTGCTCCACGGGAAGCCTGCTTCTCCTTCTCCCACTCCCCCTGATTGTGTTCCCTCTCTCGCTCTGTCTCTCTCTGTCAAATAAAAAAAAAAAAATCTTAAAAAAAAAATGGGCCAAATACCTTAATAGACACCTCACCAAAGAAGATCTACAGATGGAAAATAAGCATATGAAAAGATATTCCACATCATATGTCGATAGGGAAATGCAAATTGAAACAACCTTGAGATACCACTACACACTGATTAGAATGGTCTAAATCCAGAACACTGACAACACCAAATGCTAGTGAGGATGTGGAGCAACAAGAAATTATCATTCATTGTTGATGGGAATGCAAAATGGTACAGCCACTTTGGAAGACAGTTTGACAGTTTCTTACTAAATTAAACCTCCTCTTACCATATGATCCAGTAACTATACTCCTTAGTATACCCAAAGGAGCTGAAAACATGTCCACACAAGAACCTGCACATTGTTTATGGCAGCTTTATTCATAATTGTCAAAATCTGGAAGCAAATAAGATGTCTTTCAATAGATGAATGGATAAACTGTGGTACATCCAGACAATGGAATATTATTCAGTGTTAAAAAAAGTGAGCTGTCACACCATGAAAAGAGATGGAGGAAACTTAAATGCATACTAGTAAGTGAAAGAAGTCAATCTGAAAAGGCTACATAGAATATGATTCCAACCATCTGACATTCTGAAAAAGGCAAAACTATGGAGACAGTAAAAAGATCAGTGGTTTCCAGGGATTAAGGGGGAGGGAGGGATGTACAGGCAGAGCACAGAGGCTTTTTAGGGCAGTGAAACTACTCTGTATGATACTTCAGTGGTAGATACATGTTATTATACTTTTGTGAAAATCCATAAAATGTCCAACACCAAGGGCAACTCATAATGCAAGCTGTGGACTCTGGGTGATATGTCAATGGAGGTTCATCAACTGTAACAAATGTATCACTCTGGTGAGGGATGTTTGAGAATGGGGAAAGCTATGCATATGTGGGGGCTGGGAATATACATGAAATCTCTGTACCTTATGCTCAACTTTGCTATGAATGTAAAACTGTTTTAAAAAGTAAAGTCTATTAAAATATTATAATCAAAACATCTGAGTTATAAAGCCAACAAATATTTAGATAAAAAATTGAAGCCTGGGAGAGTCTGAACTTAACCAACTTCAACCAATTTAAGAAAAACATGCTGAGAATGTTAGCAACTTGTTTTGCTTTTATCTTCTCTGTAATAATAAAAACAGAGCTGCTCATTTCCTGCAGCTTCTTTTCCCATTAGTAGAACTTTATGTCAGGCCACTTAAATGGTACTCAAGATGTAGCCTGCTTTTCTAGTGGAGGGAACAAATGTAGCTGACCTCAGGTCTGTTCCTCTTGTGCTTGCACCTTGCCCATGTGTGGTGACACCAGGCCCAACAGCCTCTACCAGAAGTCCCTCCCCTCTAAGCTCTGGCTGAGCCTTGAGTCAGGGAACTCAGCAAAGAAAACAATTAGTGTAAAAGACATCAGAAATGCTTTGCGGAGCATCCGATGCCTGCAGTGTGCTTCATACTTAGCCTCTAACAGCTCTAGAGTTACAGGAAAAACACTTGAGATGGAATTATTTTGGTCTATTATCATTGTTTCTTAGTAAAGTTATTTCTTAAACTCTTAAAACTGCTTATAAGCTAATAATGAGGGGAATTATTCTGTACCATGCCTGAGGTGGAGTAGGGGTGAAGGTGGGGAGTTGGAGGATGAGGGGAAGGAGGAACCAAGGGCTGGTTCCCTATATTCATTCATTCTGTAAATTCAGGCATCCGTTAGTGAAGAAAGGCAAGTTTTCTGTTTCTTTCTAGAAAGGGGAAATACAGGCAATAAAGAAACAGATTACTTAACAGGATGATGTTCGAGAAAAAATAGGATGATATGATGGGCGTGAGGTGGGGACTGGGAGGCTGAGGATTGGGGCAGGGGTATTTTATTAAGTGAGCAGGGAAGATCACTGAGCAGGCAGAGAACTGAATGAGGTGAGGAAGCCAGTTTTGAGGGTCCCTGGCTAAAAGGTGTGGTCCAGTCTTAGAAAGGGCCCCTCTGCTTTCTCTGAAGAACTCATTTATATACTGAAGTGGCAGAATAGGTTATTTTCTTCCTTTATTGCCTCCTTCTTGATGTGAAACAGAAATCCATCCCTTCTTTGGGGCTTGGTACCTGGTAAATCAGACTGGTGCTTCTCAAGGGTTCACAGAGACAAATTCTTGGCGTATATTGAGACCATATATATATATATATATAGAAAGAGAGAGAGAGAGAGAGAGAGAGACCATATATATATATATATGCCATTCTGAGCTAAGGAATAGGATAAGTGCCTTGGGCTTCAAAGGGGAGGGCAATTCACAGGCAATAAGGGAGCAGATGATGCGTAATTAGATGTTTGCTCTGCTATACAGATGTGTCAGATAAAATTTATCATTGGTAATAACTCTTATTCTAGGAAAGACACCCAATTTAGATACTTCTAGGCAGTTGAGGGAGGAGCAAAAGTTTCTCTGGAGTCCTCAGGGTCTGGATTGCTTTCAGCTCAAAATAGTCCACCTGATAAAGTGGCACATTTTGGGGACACCTATTCTGAATCCCTTCATTAGACAGCAAGGATTGCCAGGTCTCTGCGGACATACTTTTATGTGCGGGGCCAGGTCCATCGTGGGATGGTAAGCCATCCAAAACTGTCTGGTGCAGAACAACGTCTAAGGTTGGGAGTTCTAAACTTGCAGTCCTGGGCCTTCAGCTCTAATAAGATTTCAGCGTGTAACAGCACTCCAACTGTCTAGGGTTAACTTGCTTCATGCTTATGCACTCCTTGCTTGCCAACCTAAGTCCCTAGGTCTATAGCAGAACCAGACTACCTTCCTTAGATTTGCAGGCCACTGGCCTTGAGGAATGAAGGTCCAGAAGATAAGGCCTGACTACATTCGAAAACAGATGCCACTGACGCCAGCAAGTCTGTTTATGGTCATGTCCACATACGACGACTAGCTGCCTGGGCAGCGACTTCTCTGCACGTAGCCCCCTTCCCTTTTTCAATGCCTTCCCCTTTAAAACTCTCTGGCTTTGCCTGATGGGGAAGATGGTCTTTGAGACGTTAGTCTACCATCTTCCCAGGTTGCCGGCATCCAGAATAAAGTAACTTTTCTTTTCCCACCATCACTTGTCTCTCGAATGATTTTCCAGCGGGGAGCAGTTGAACCTGAGTTCAGAACCCGTTTTCTGTCCAATAACAAGCCCGCCAAACCGCATGTGCATTTCGCTGGGGAGTGTCTACAGAAGTCACTCTCAAAAAGGGGCGACGTCTACCAGAAAAGCGACTGGCCTAAGGACTCGTCCACGGCCATGTTCTTAGTTCTGGAAAAAAAACGACAGGTTCAGCTCTACCACCCCCTTCTCGCTTGCGAGGGCAGACAGAAGTATCCGGAGAACCCACCCGGAGGTAGCTTGAACACCCCGGCTGGGCGTCACAATCGGGTTCGGTTCTTGGCTCAGTCCTCACGGTCCAGCGCGCCCAAGCCCGTCGCGGCCTATCGCGCGCCAGTCGCTCAGCATTGTGGGACTGGTAGTCCCGGCTGGTGCGTGGGTTAGGCCTGCCGAAGCCGCAGAACTACACTTCCCAGCAAGGACCCCCGCAGTAGCCGGCGCGGGCCGTATGCGTCAGCCACCAGATTTCCGGACAAGCCAGGGGCGGGACCGTGGCGGAGGCTGGAGCTTGGCGTCGGGATGCAGCGCCCCGGGCCCTTCAGCACCCTCTACGGGCGGGTCCTGGCCCCGCTGCCCGGGCGGGCCGGGGGCGCGGCCTCTGGCGGAGGCGGGAACAGCTGGGGCGTCCTGGGTTCCCACGTGCAGCCTCCCGGGCGCGCGCAGTCCGGCACCCGCGCCGGCGTCGGTAGCACAGGTACCTACGGCGGGGACGCCAACAGCGCCTGCCCGGCCCCCTCCGCGATGTCCAAGGCCGAGGAGGCCAAGAAGCTGGCGGGACGCGCGGCCGTGGAGAACCACGTGAGGGTGAGCAGCTCCGGGCGTGGGGCTCCCGTGCTCTGCGTGATGGGCTCGTGTTGCGTGTTCCGGGTACTGCCGGAGCCGGGGCGGGGGCTGCGTGAGAGGGGGAGAGGGTGTACACTGTACCCGGGTTTAGATCCCCCCTTTTCCGTGCTCCTTAAAGGTCTTTTACATGTGGGATCGACTGGGGGCGAGATTCCTAAAAGTTGAGCTTTCTAAAGACTCCTTGTCCGGCCGGGTAACAGTTTGCAAAGTGGAGTGTGGTGGTGTCTGATGTGTTTGGAGTGGCGCTGGAAGGGACTTGCCGTGCGGCTGGCTTCCTTATTAACAAGTATAAAATGGTGAGTTCTGGAGCTGCCAAGAGATCTTCACTTCTCTTTACTGTGCTGGGAAGCCGGTGGAGAGCTGGTTTGAAAATTGCTTTGAAATTTTACTCCAAGGAGGTTCTTGGCTTGGCGCGTGTACGGTCCTGAGTGTACTCACTAGTGAAAGAGAGCGAAAGAGGGATTTAAAACCTCCTGCCTTTGACAGGGGTGGGTGGACAATAAGATTCTGGAGGAATCTATTCTTTAAGGTTGGGGCGCAGAGATAAGATTTAGCTGTTACCGGTGAGGTCGTGGCCCCAGTTAAGTGGTGGGTGTGGTGCTGTTTAGTGGAGTCTCTTAACCTGAGTGGATTTGCTGTCATCAATCAAGTTAATTATCTTAATTATGGTACTTCCGTCTAGCCAAGTGGAGTATCTCTGCCCTTTGGTGGAGTTTCCTTGACTTTGTTGGCCTTCTGTCTCTCTCTTCTGTTTCTTAGAAAGTGGTTTCTGATTCCCTTTCTCCTCTCGTGATAGTTCTTTACATTTGTTAATGCTTTCATGTACAGAGTACTTTGCTACGATGGTGTTTGATCCTCAAATAGATTGGCTAAGTGGGAGGGACCAGTGTGGTAACCTGTGGATCAGCATGTTCTGTAGATCCTCCAGAACCCAAACTGGGTGACCCCTGTTCCAGTGCCCTTCCACCAGTTCCATAGCTGCTCTGTTCTGGTGTAGTTTGTTCCAGTCTGGTTAGCAGTGGAGTTTTCTATGGGAATTCACAGAGATAACGCAGAATGTGTATTCCGGCTCTACTTTTAGGATTCAGTGCCTCAGCTACAAAATTGGGACGGTAAGCTGAAATTTTAAAATGCCTGTATAAAGTGAATAATTAATAGATGAGTAAATGAAATCTGTACAGTTAGAGAAGCCCCATATCTTAGTATTCTTATTAACCTATTAACATTTGGTGGCATAAGTCTGACTTTCATCTTATAATGTATTTGCTTCCATAAAAATCTTCAAGCCCCCACCTCTGGCTGGAGCTACAAAACACTGGACTCCAGCTACATTATTCTGTGAAATTACCAGGTGATCATGGGGAGATCTTTGGCCTTTTGGGGGCAACCTCACCCCAATCTCAGTTGCACCTGCTTTCCCTACCAAACTTATTCCTGAGTTGCTAACATTACCTGACTTTTGTATTTTCCACTCTTAAACGTTGATTTATTCATTTCATTCATTTACCAGATATTTGATGGCCTAATATGTGTCAGGCAGTTGGTGTGGTGGCCAGAAATGTGGCTACAGGGAGAGGGAAAGTCAGGTCCTGGATACTTTGCAAACAGGATAATTAATTCAAACCTGTACATTTATTGAACATAGTCATGTGTCTAATTGTCAAAGCTTAGCTAGCTGCCCTCTTCAGGGCGGTATCCTTTGCACCATCTAAGCCATGTGTCATCTAGTGCTTTGTGTCTTGAAATTGTTTACTCATCTAAGTTTATGGAGGTGGTCATGTGCAAGGTTCTGTTGGTTCCACCTTCGGAATGTTGTTAGACCTGACCCTTCCCTTTGACTTATCATCTTTCCTAGTTGAGGCTCTCCGCATGGCCAGAGGTTTGCAGTTGCCCTTATCTTGTCCCCTCTGCCAACCTTCCAAGTGATGCATTATCATCTTCTGTATCTCTCATCTATTGTCACAGTGGCCGTCAGGTGGCCTCATCCTAATGTCCACATACCATATCTGAAGTATCTGTTGCGAGCCAGGTACTGGGCCAGATGGAGAGGAAACACAGATGAGAGGCTGTGGTTCTTCTCCTGAAGCCCACAGTCTTGTGTCCTTCTGTAATCCTTTCTTCTCCATGTACCAGAACACTGGAAAATATATACTGGCATATAGTGTGCATTTTAATATCATTACACTCTACTTAGAATGCTCTTTCTTGTCCTCTGACCTTGCTGGTTAAAATCATATGTGTCCTTTAGAGTTTGATTCAAAGACCCTTTTCTCCTTTCAGTTTTTCCTTAGTCTCCTAAGTCGGGCGAGATCTCTTTGATTTTGTAGCACTTTATACCTCTTAGGTGCTTTATGGTGTCTTATGTTCTAGTCATCTATATGTTTATCTCTCCTATCCCCCTAAAGAGTAAGCTCCTAGTGGATAGTTAACCTTATTTTCACTCAGTGTTGGTCACAGTGGGGCCTGCCTGGTGTTTGTTGAGTTGTATGGAGTGTAGACGCAAATACGGAGGTTGTAAGGTTACTGGTGGCCCTTTGCTTAAGACTCTCTGGACTGTAGGGTTTCCAATTGCCTAGCCCATTGGTGTTCCATTGTGGTGATCACTTCCACATCTGGATGGATAGAAAACTTGGCGAGTTTGCTGCTGAATCCTTTGGGTAGCCACTCCGAACTTAGATCTGCCTGTTTCTGGGAGTATGGCCACCCAGGGTAGGTTACCATGCAGGGCCGTGTTCTCCTGAAGGTCTGTAGCTTCCTTTGTTCTCATTGTTTTTAGACAGACTTAGCTTGAAGAAGTTGGCGAGTAGTGACTCCAGTTGGTCAGCAGAAGTATTTCCAAGTTAACCTACTCAACACAGTGAGTGAAGTTCCGATGTTGCATGTATGACATGTGATTTAGTATTGCCCATCAGAAGGGTCCTGCTTCTCCAGCATAGTTTGCTTGGCAGCTGTCTGCTATTGGGCCACCTCACAGGCAGCCTTCGGCTATCTCTGTTTTGCTTTGGCTAGGACACCGATTCCTGGGCCAATCATTTGATTCCAAGGTAGGAGGACCACGTGGTTGAAGAGCTTTGGGCCTGGCCGGTCCTTGCAATTTCCTGGCCTCCTCCAGGAGTCAAGGGAAGAGCCTTTCATAGAGCTTGTCTGACTCACCAAAGTTATCTGAGTGCCACCTGCCTGCTGGGAGCCTGTGGGTGACATGAGTGTATGGTAATGAGAATTCTGGCAGAGTACGGTAGAGCTAGAGCTATGGGCTTTAGATCAGGTGTGAGAGTCGGGTTGAGCCTACCTAGGCATTATAAATTAAGTACTTTTCTCATTACTTGAAGCTTTTTACATATTCACATATTTAGCTATTTTGAACATTTTGACATACCATTCACTTGTCTGGAAGACCTTGCTGTTAAGGTTTGCCTAGGTAGCTAAATGACTACTGGATGCATTGCATTCTTGAGGGCATCATTGAAGGTGGAATTCTGACCTAGAACAAGCTCTGCTCTGAGACTCCTTGATCTGTTTGATGACTTGGGAACTATGAGCTAGTCAAAGTGATTTCCATCACCTTGCACACAGAGGCTGATGGGTTAAGCCCTCTGTAGATAGGGGAGGCCCAGCTAGAAGTGCTTTAGTTGCTGGGGTATTAGCATTTGATTTCTTTTTTGTAGCTCCCTTTGCTTGTTGGCCATTCTTTCTAATCTTTTATAGTTTGAGATGTATTCTTGCTATGAGAAGGACCATACCAGATATGGGCCCAGGGGCTGGCATTGGGTATTCCTGTGGCCTTTGTCCCGTGTGAAGTGAGGGATGTTGGCTGTAGCTCTCAGTTTGTCCTGACTTGCCCCCAGGACTTTTCTTTCTCCTATGAAATATTAAAGAACAAAATTCAACGGAGTAAATCCTCAAAATCTGTTGGCTTTATTCAATGATTCATGAATCAGGCAGCATCCAACCTAGCACACAGAAGGGCGCTCTAAGGAGCTACACAAAATGAAAGACTTTTATAGCCAGAAGGGGCAGGAACTAAGAAGTTGTACTAGGCATGAAAGCAGGTTGATTATTAGAAGGTCATTTTCCTTTAGGGGATGGTAGGGGTCTCTCAGGCACATTACCTAGCTAGTGTTGATCAGACAGTTCCTGATTGACTAGCTTAAGATTCCATTTGCGGGGGAGCTGAAACTGTAATTAAGTCCAGTCTTGGTTTGGTGACCTGGGGCTTAGCATAAGGACTCCATTTGGGGCCTTTTTTTTTTTTGAGTAAAGTGATAGAAGTTTATTAAGTGAAGATACAGAAAAAGCTCTCAAGAGTGAGAGGGGTCCCAACAGGGCTGCCTTTTTTTTGTTTTTTTGTTTTGTTGTTTTTTTTTAACACTCCCTGCTTCCTATCAGGCAAAAGATTTGGCTTACTTACAATGTGCAGTTTAAGCTGGCTTTACAAAAATGGTCTGTAGGTGAGTACTGAAAGATTTCTGGCCCACCCAGGGACAGTCAGAAAGGAAAAGGCCCACGAAAAACACAGAGCCTGCTTACACCCCAAGAGTGAAAAGCAGAGTTTTCTGGCTTCAGTGGCGTTTCACGTAAGCTTAATATCTAGATGGCAGGGGACTGACTACAGGCACCTTCAGGCTGGTGGCATAACAGGGAAACCTCGGGGGGACATCAAGCCCACCATCTAGAGCCTCCCTGAAGTCAGCAGAAGGGGGAAAAGCCTGAAGTAACCTTGAAAGTTACCTTTCTTTTAGGGTGATGCAGGCTGGCCAGGTCTGAGGAACCAGAGGGGGTCCCACAGGACCAGCCAAGAGGGTCTTGGCTTCACACAAGATCGAAATCAAACTCGAGCCAGTAGGAAGTGAGAGCAGAGTTTATTGAATAGCGTGAGAGAGTATAGCAGATAGAGTGCCTGGAGACTCAGGAAGGAGTCTCGTCTTTGCTTGGGGGCTGGGGTTTTTAATTGAGGACAGTGGCCTGGTGTACGTGCCTCTCAGGCATCTAGGAACTGGTCAAAACAAGGTTGAGGGCTCACGTGTCTTCCATCTTATGCCCTGGAGCCAGGGGTCTTGGCATCAAAGTGACTGGAGTCAGGGTCTTGGAAAACCGTTCATGATGACCGCACCTAGTCACTCCTTAGATGTTATCTCTTGTGCTGGAAGACTCTAAAGGTATCTTTAACTCCTTGACCTTTACAAGTAGGACATATGTTATTGATACTGTAAGGTGTGTTTAGGGTGGGGGTGCAGGTCCTCGCAAGAATGGAAGCAGGAAAAGGAGCAAAAAAGCAGGGTTTTTTTTTTTTTTTTTTTTTTTATGGGGGTCTCTTCAGTTTTCCTGTGTCAAGGGGATGGCAGAGGTTTTGAAATACCAAACCACATCAGCATTATGACCAGTTGATGCCAGGAGGTCCCTGTTTTGCCCAAGCCTGCCTCAGAATATGGGAAGAGGGTGAGGCTTAGTTAGGATTATGAGAAAGAGTCTTTATCTGCAGTAGGGACAATGTGTAAGAGATAGAGAGTACTTGTGAGTACAAAGGACAAAAAACAGGCATCATACTACTGAGTCTGCCATCTTAAGAAAGGGGTCAAGTCCCTAAGCAGACTGGGGACCCAGCCAAGGTCAGTTAGACCACAAACTGCAAAACAGGGTCAGGGTACTACATTTAGGAACTAACGGGGAGCTCACTCAGTTCCTAAGCAACTTCCTGCCAGTCTAAGGCAAAAGAGCTAAAAACCAAAGCAGCAGCTACCATTTATTTAGCACCTACCAAGAAGATTTATACATGTTAATTTAAGTCAGATCTCACAACAACCCCTTGTAACCTCAAGACCAGTTATCCCCCCTCTAAAGATTTTATTTATCTGAGAGAGAGCGAGAGAGCTTGTGCCCGTGTGGGCATGGCAGGAGGTGGGGGAGGGAGAAGCAGACTCCCCACTGAGCAGAACCCTGAGATCATGATCTGAGCTGAAGGCCAACTGAGCCACCCAGGTGTCCCTCCCCACTTTAGAGAAGAATTCAACCTTTTAAGGAAACATTTAAGACTTGGAAGTGAGCAAAAGAGATTGTTGGATATCCTTTCATTGGAGTGCTGGAGCTTGCAGGTGTGTACCTTAGCCTTCCAAGTAGGCCTGTCACAACTCTGTAGGGAGAGACTTTTAATTTTAGAACACTTCTAACAGTGCAGATAATTTCTGTCCATAGAAATGCAAATTAATCGTGTTTTATGAGATTCAACTGATTATTACCCTAAAGATCTTGTAAATTCATTTGAACATTTTTTAAGATTTTATTTATTTATATGAGAGAGAGCACATGAGAGGGAGGAGGGTCAGAGGGAGAAGCAGACTCACTGCCGAGCAGGGAGCCCGATGTGGGACTCGATCCAGGGACTCCAGGATCATGACCTGAGCCGAAGGCAGTCGCTTAACCAACTGAGCCACCCAGGCGCCCTGAACATTTCTTGACTGCATATGAATTTACGGTTCTTGGGTTTTTCCTGTGGACAGGTTGTAACAGTATCATGATTTTACCTTTTTTTTTTTTTAAATCATCATTTAATAATATCAGTTACCCCCCCTACACAACCTCACTTCGAATAAGCAACTTCAGGAAGTTCAGCATGCTGAAATATTTCATGTCAAATTTCTTAGAGTTCCAGCAACTGATTAACAACTCATTTGGTAAGGGGAAGCCCGTAGTGAGATTTTCTTTTGTTATAAACAAGACAGCAGGCCCCAAATTGAATCACTTGTGCTAAGCTCATGTCACCAAAAAAGAGACTTAATTACTGTTTCAGCTCTCTCAGAAATGGAATGTTAAATTAGGAATTGTCAGATCAGCATTAGTTAGGTAATCTGCCTGAGAGACCCCTGCCATCCCCTAAAGAAAAGTAACCTGACAATAACCAGTCTGCTTTTTTGCCTGCTAGGACTTCCTTGTTCACACTTCCTCTGGCTATAAAAGTCTTTTGTTTTGTAGAGCTCCTTTCTGTCTGCTAGATTGGATGCTGCCTGACTTGCTCAAATAAACTCTTCAAAAATTTTAATGTGCCTCAGTTTATCTTTTTAACGGGAGGAATTGGTGATGTTAGGGGCAGACATGAAAGGAGGAGGGTGCTGCTGATAAATGGCCCTGACCACTAGGATAAAGTACAACTCTCCTGTGGTTCTGTTCAGTACTGATGTTCTATAAAATGGGCACAGTACTTACCTTGCACTCATGTTGTGAATTGATCTACAAAGTGGGCTAAAGAGGGAGTAAAATATGGTATTAATGAGTTTTGGTTTTTTTCTCTCCTTTTTTTTTTTGGCAGAATAACCAAGTGCTAGGAATTGGAAGTGGCTCTACAATTGTTCATGCTGTGCAGCGAATAGGTAAGCTCTTGGGCTATCTACTGGGTTTTCTGTGGGATGGTGGGGGGAGGGAGTGGGGTACAGGTTTGGCACCTGCCCAACTCTGCTCTGAGAGGTATTTTTGGGCCTCTTCAGCCACCTTTGGGGGATGCCTGGCTTTGTTTACTCTGCTCATCTGGAGGGGAGGAGCTGATTTAAGATGAGGTCTCAGTAGAATTTTAATTCTCAGTGGTCCTGTATGTGGCCCCAGGGGCCTTGGGGGGGGGCCTTCTAAAGCCTTTGGGTTCCTCAGGCAATCTCAGACCGACAAACTGAGCTCAGTTGCCCTGTCCATGACCCTGGAGTGGATTTGAGGCCCCCCGAAGTTGGTGGCTGGTTCCTGCCGGTGCTGACTTCCTTCTGATTAGGGTGTCTCTGAGCTTACGAAAGGCTCAGGAATTATCAGCCCCTGTGGCTGTTCAACAGGTTTTACTGCCCTGCTTTTGTTTGTTAAAACAAAGCTCAGAGGGGAGGCTTGCCTGACTGCTGATTGCTTCTAGTGCCAAGGGGCAGTGCTCAGGAGACAAAGTCCAGGAATACTGTGTCTTTAAAAGAGTGGTTGTGGTGCTGGCGTGAGGGCTTCTGGAATCCTCCTCATTGGCTTACCCTGGGCTTTAGTGTTGCATACCTTTCTCCCTTAGCATTGAGTGTGTGGAGGGTTTTAGGGCACAGGGATTACTGTGGGGTTGAGTAGTGCCTTCTGAACCTCCCACGATGCAGACCCAATGATTAAAAAGACTTGAAATTTTAATAAGATAGTTGTTTCCTTAAGACTTTTTTTTTTTTCCCCAGAAAGGTATAAATCCAAAATGAGTAAGCCCACCCTCTGGGGCCTACAAATGATATTTTTTGCTAAATGTAAAAATAAAGTTCTCTTTTTTTCTGTGAAAGGCAATGTAAGGAAGTAGTTAAGACGAGCTAGACTGTGTGGGATCATAGCTCAGCTCTGCCACCTTTTAGTGATATATCTACGCAGTGAACTTTAACCAGTCGGTGCCTCAGTTTCCTCATCTATAAAATGGGAATAATAATTGCAACTCACCTTTGGGTTGTTAGGATGAAAAGAGTTCACGTGTACAAAGGTCTTTGAACGTTGCCAGGCACATAATAGTAACAAACACGTGACATTGCTCTTTTTGTAGTTAGTGTTTACTCCTTGAGCTTTCTAGTGTCCCTGTCTTGTGTGCACGATGTATGTTCACAAGCTTTTTCACCGAGGCTGGGGACACAGAATGAAAGGCATCTGTCAGTGGGGGATAGACCTTTTCTTTCCTGTTGGATTTGAGGAAATGTGCATGTGACAAGAAACAAAGTGAGGAGAGTGAAAAACCACCAATACGGCTTTTGTCTCCACAGCTGAAAGAGTGAAACAAGAGAATCTGAACCTTGTCTGCATTCCCACCTCCTTCCAGGTATGTCCTGCTTTCCATTCCGCATCATGGCACTTGGCTGCTGAATCTTCTGAGTCCCAGAGGAGATGGAGGTGTGGCTTTGGGTTGTGCACCAGGGTTGCTCTAGGTGAGAGAGCCAGGAGCAGGAGAGCAGATATTTACGGAGGATTGCTCCTCAGAAGTGTGGCTATAGATGCCTTCATGTATTCACTCAGTGAATATTTCAGTGTATTCTGTGTTAGGTATGGTGTAGTGTATGGGGAGTTTTAAAACTCTTAGCTGGTTGGACATTTGCTCCAGTACCTGGAAACTACGTGCTTTTCTTGCTACTTAAAAACATTTTTCAACTTGGTATAGTAATTCTCTACTGAATGGATGAATGGAAGATGGGTGTTTGCTTAGTTTTTACCTCCTTGCTGTCCCAGTTCACACACAGCCTTCTCTCCTGATGTTCCATACAGTTACATTTTGTTGAGGCATTCATTACTCAGTGTGTACAAAATCGTGATTGGCCAAACTCTGGCCCAGCCATGTAATGTGCTGTGATTACACCTCCTTACCTGCCTGTTATTTTCATTTTCCTAAAAGTTAAGTAAATGTTGCCTTTGTTTTTTTCATTTGCTTGGTTGTCTGCGTACTCCTTACTCATTCAACCCCAGACTCTACACAGATGGGAAAATCTCACTTCTTTTTGACACTTCTTTCTGGTTATTACACCCCACCCATTTCATCTTGGCCAAGTCTGTCTGGGTCGTTGGGGTTGGGAATGCTGTGGCAGGTGCACTTGGCTGTTGTCTTGGGGTCTCCCTTTGGAGTCAAGAACCTTCCTTCTCTTCTCTTTTGGATCATCCTCTTTCTTGGTCCTGTTTTTCCTCACCCCCAGCCTTTTGTTTTGTTTACTTCGGTTTTGGTGAAGCACATCCTTTAGGTAGCTATCCAAGTGTGTGGGATGCAAATTCGCAGACACTTTGGATATCTGAAAATGTCTTTATTCTAGTCTTTCTTGAAGTTGGTTATTTGATTTAGAGAAGTATATGTAAAATCATTTCTGAGGAATTTTGAAGGCATTTATCTATTGTCTCTGTTGTCCTAATTTTCACTTTGCTGTTGAGGAGCTTGATGCCATTCTGATTCTTGATCCTTTGTGTGAAACCTATTTTTAAATTTTATTTATTTGTTTTTAAAGCTCCAACATGGGGCTTGAACTCAGCGACCCTGAGGTCAAGACCTGAGCTGAGATCGAGTGGGACACTTACCAGACTAAGCCACCCAGGCGCCCCTGAAACCTATTTTTTTCACTTTCTGAACCTTTATATTCTTATATTAGCTTTTCTTCATGTCCAGTGTTCTGAAATTTCACCATGCTGTGTCTTAGTGTGGGTTTGTTTTTGTCCACATTGCTGGGCCCTTGCTGGGACATTTCATTCTGCAAATTCATACTCTTTGATTTGGGGGAGTTTTTTCCATTACTCCTTTAACTTTCTTGCCCCTATTTTCTCTGGTCTTTCTTTCTAGGATGCTTGTTGTATCCTTGGTGCTTGTGGCCTGTTTTGTCCTATTATCTTCTTAGCTTTGTCTTTTCTAACCCTTCTATTGAGCTTATTTACTCTCATGTTTAATTTTAAATAAGATTTTGTTTTGTTTTGTTGTCTGAGGGTTTTTTGTTTATTGTTTAATGGGTTCAACTTTTTCAATTTCTTCCCTTGTCTCCATGAAGTTGTTAATGATTTTTTGTTTTAAGATTTTTTTCTCCTTATATATCTGTTTCCTCAAAGGTTTTTTTTTTTTTTACAGTTTGTTGGAATTATAATTTATGTACAGTAAAATTTACTCTTTTTTGCATATAATTCAGAGTTTTGACAACCAACCAACACAGTCAAAATATTTTTAGATTGCTTTGGTCATTTCTTATTCTGGCCTTCCTTCGCTATCTGCTCATTTTGGACTAAGAGCCTGATTGGAAACTAGCTCATAGGATGAAGGTGGTCTTTGCTCCAGGCTTGTCTGCCAAGCCCTTTCGTTGGGGAACTCCTGATGTCAGATTATTTGTCTTCCGGCTGCTCAGCTTTCTCAGAGAAGTCTGGCCAATGCCCCTTTGGGAGAGGGTATGCATGGCTATCTGTGTGCTGGGATCCAAGTAGGGGAAAAGGGCTAGAAGACATCTGTCATTTTTCCGGATATAATCTTGCTCTGAGTTTTCAGCAAAATACCTGTGGTAGTTGGGAAAGAAGTGTCTACAACATTCTGCAATGTTTCTTTGACTCTGGGCTTGATTGTGACTTGTTTTGCCAGTGGGATGTGACCAAATGGTCACATGGTATGCCAGCAGAGAATCGAAAAGTGCTTTTGCAGTGGGGCTTGGCTCATCTTGTGGCTGAAACCATTTTGCCACCATGTGAACAAACCCAGGCTGCTGTCCTGGAGGGTAAGAGGCCGAGCAGCTCCAGGCATGTGAGACAAGTCATCCTACACCTACCAGCCCACTCCAGAGACTTCCCAGTTAGTCCATAGAATCATGACAATTAATATATAGTTGCTTTTTTTTAATATATAATTTAAAAAATTAATTTTTAAAAATTTTAATTCCAGTGTAGTTAACATATATAGTGTTATATTACTTTCAGGTGTACAAAATAGTGATTCATCAGTTCTACTCATTACTCAGTGCTCATCACTATAAGTGTACTATTAATCCCCTACCTATTTTACCCATCCCTGCCTCCCACCTCCCTTCTGATAACTACCAGTTTGTTCTCTATAGTTAAGAGTCTGTTTTTTGGTTTGTCTCTTTTTTTCTTTGTTTGTTTTGTTTCTTAAATTCCACATATGAGTGAAATCATATGGTATTTGTCTTTCTCTGACTGACTTCTTTCACTTAGCATCATACCCTCTAGATCCACCCATGTTGTTGCAAATGTCAAGATTTCTTTTTTTTTTTTTATGGCTGAGTAATATTCGTGTGTGTGTGTGTGTGTGTGTGTGTACACGTACCACATCATCTTTATCCATTCATTTATTGATGGACACTTGGGCTGATTCTGTAATTTGGCTATTGTAAATAATGCTGCACTAAATATACGGGCGCATATATCTTTTCAAATTAGTGTTTTCATATTCTTTGGGTAAATATCCGGTAGTGGAATTACTGGATCAGTGGTAGTTCTATTTTTAATTTTTGAGGAACCTCCATACTGTTTTCCACAGTGGCTGCACCAGTTTGCATTCCCACCACCAATGCATGAGGTTCCTTTTCCTCCACATCCTCACCAATACTTGGTGTTTCTTGTGTTTCTGATTTTAGCCATTCTGACAGGTGTGAGGTGATACCTCAGTGTAGTTTTGATTCGCATTTCTATGATGATGAGTGACGTGGAGCATCTTTTCTTGTGTCTGTTGGCTGGCTGGATGTCTTTGGAGAAATGCCTGTTCAATATTCACTCTTTCAAGCCTCCAAGTTTTGGAGTAGCTGCTGTGTAGCGAGAGCTCACTGATGGAGGACCCCGGTCTTCAACTGTGCCTGTAGCCAGTCCTGAGATCTGCTGTTGGACTTTCTCCAGAGAATAAACATGCTGCTTTGGGAGTAGCGGAGAAAGAGAGAGCGAGCAGGTTCCTCAGTACCCTTTCAACCTTTCAACGAGTGTTCTCTCTTTTACTCCCACTGCTGTTTCTGCTTCCTGAAGTTCGCAGTGCCATGCAGCCCCGAATCTTTTGGGAGGTTCTTTCTGTGCTGTTTATTTGGTTGCTTCTTAGCTTCCTGCAGTACTGCCTTAGGATTTGTCTTTCTCATTTTTGCCAGTTACCGTTGTCTATCAGTGGTCTCACTTCTTAAAGTTTGCTACTGTTTTCTCCTTTTTGTTTATGTGTTTTAGAAAATTTCCGTTATTACAGTTTTAAAGAGGTTTTGGGAAAGAGCTGAGCCAAAGGGAGGTATTCAAATTGCTGTCTTTAAATGGAGGTTTAATTCTGTGTTTTTAAAATAACATCCTCCTAACCCACCTGCATTTTATGGTGGTAAGTGATAACAGTGTACCCAGACTGGAAAATGCTGGCCAGTTCAGTAGACTCAGTGGAGGAGTCATTCACAGTTCACAGGGCTTTTTAAAAATTCAGTTGTTCAGAGTTACTGTTTTGTTTTTTTCCTGTCACACCCAAACTTATTTTGCATTAAGTTTAGCCAGATGCAGTCTTCTGAAATGATTGAAAAAGTCAAAAATATTTCATGTTCTACCTTTTAAACAAGTAAACCCATAGGGATTTAAAGGATTTTTTTTGGTAGATTTTTTCCTTAAAAGTTTTTGAAAGAGGACAATTTAAAAAAACGTATTTAAAAGTCAGATCTGGTCTGAGCCAAAAACAGTGTTTATTTTTCACGTCCGCGTGCAGTGCACCTCAGTTAGGCGATAGAAGGGAAAAGACAAGCTTTCAGATTTTATTGTGAAATTTATGAATAACAGGATTGCTGGTCTGCCACATGCCGCTGTCCTTAGTCACCAGAGGCTTCTGGGGGCCCAGCTGTGGGATTGCAATGACAAGGCACTGGTTCCTGTCTTTTTTCCAAAAGCACAAGCTAGTCATTAGCTTTACTGCTCCCTCCACTTTCAAGAGCTGGAAGAGGCAGATGGGGGTGTTTGCTCTGCACCTTCAGGAGACCCCTAACCCTGTGAGCTCAAGAGTGTCTGGTACCCAGCGGATGCTAATCTTAGTCAAGAACCTGTGGCTGCATTTGGGCTGAATGAGCCGGTATTGGCTTGGTAGCCCCACAATTGGGCCGCTGTGTTGAAGTTAGCATATTGGTTTCCGAGGGCTACCATGACAAGGTACCGTAAACTGAGTGTGGCTTAAAAACCAGAAATTTATTGTCTCAGTTCTGAAGGCTAGCAATCTGAGATCAAGGACTCTGAGATCAAGTGCAAGATGAAGGAGAATCTGTGGTGTGCCTTTCTCCTAGCTTCTGGTGGTTTCCTGGCTGTCTTTGGCGGTGCTTGGCTTGTAGGTGCATAGTCCTGATCTTTGCCTTCATGTTCACATGGCGTTCTCCCTGTGTTCATCTGTCTGGTCCAGATTTCCCCTTCTAGGGACACCAGTCATATTCGATCAGGGCTTAGCCCAATTACTTTGTTTTAACTTGATTACATCTGTGAAGACCCTATCTCCAGATAAGGTCACATTCTGAAGTACTGGGGGTTAGGACTCCAACCTGTTTTTGTTTGTTTGCTTGTTTTTTCAGGGGAACACAGTTCAGCACATTACAGGAAGAATGAAGCTCGTGCCATTTGTGACTCTGACTTCTGTGTGTGTGCAGGGCCACTCACAGGGGTCCTGTGGGGAGTCTAGTCAAAGATGAGAAGGGAGGGTTGTAGGACTTGCAGATGGGGAACAGGTTAAAGGGTCCTACCCTGATGGGTCTAGAGGTCAATGTACAGGGTTCTCCACGTTGTGGATGGGGATGCAGATTGTTTAAAGCAAGAGCAGATTCTGTCTTTGTGTTATTGCTTATTGTCCAGGAAGACAAGTGTCCCAGGGCTTGTGGAAGTTGGCAGGGCCTCCCAGCCATACCACATAGACAGCAATTCTCTACCGGGCTCTTTTCATGTGCCACACTCTGGGCGGCAACTGGGATGGGTTGGCTCCTGGTGCTGGTGAGGAGGCAGAATTCAGTTGGGCATAGTGATCATTGAGGGTATACTTACTGTTATAGGGATATGAGGCTTTTATGCATGGGAGGTGTTACTCACCATCTCCAGTGTCCAGTGGGTTGTCTGGCTCTTAGGCTCTTTGTATGTGTTTGTTGGATGAATTAATGCTACATTTATATGTGTCATTATTTACAAATAGAAAAGTAGAGATAATGTGTGTTTTAGAGGAAGGAGATCCTACTCCTTTCCCAGGGAATTGGGGAGGGCTTCCTGGAAAGGATAACATTTGAGTTGGGCATGTGGGGCTGGGTTTTGGGAGAAGGCAGGCCATTTCAGGGAGAGGAGGAATGCCAAGACCTCAAAGAACTCCTTTTAATATTGTTACTGTTAATAACGTGTTATTATATAAGATGACTTCAGTTCCATTTGTAAATGGACCTGTGTTCTCTGCTTCTTGTTCTTTTACCATTCTCTCTGTTTTCCTTTTCTTCTAATTCCCTTCTTAGTCCCTAGGCAGGACAAGAAGGCAGGAGACTGTATTTCTGGTCTTTACTCTGTCCCTAACTTACCACTGTGACCTCTCTGGGCATCCATTTCTTCCTTTAAACAGGGGTTTGCACTAGGTGACTCCTTCTACAATGAATTCAAAATAATTAGTTATTTACCCAACTATTACCTCAAATGATGCTAACTGCTGTAAGGTAACAAGAGTATATAAAGTGTGCTCTCTCATACTCTGATTACGGTCCAGACTGACAAATGAGACATCCTCATGAAACAGTAACACTGTCCAGTGGTGCAAGCAGTCTTTGAACTTAGGAAGTGTTAAAATGATCAATTTACATAGGATTTTTTCCTTAGGAATCCTGACATCTAGTTTTCATATAATATATCTGAATGCGGTTTAGTATTGTTTTTATTTTAAAGTACATAAAATTAATAGGAAACCATAGTACATCACACAGTTTTGTATGGTAGACTATTGCATTGAACTCTGTACAGTTTGTATCATTTTTCTAACACCCATCTGTATTCAATATCTTGTTGCTGTGGAACAGATTACCCCCAAATTTAGCAGCTTAAAACAACAAATATTTATTATCGCATAGTTTCCAAGGGTCAGGAATCCAGAGTGGTTTGGCTGGGTGGGTCACTGCAGAGGTTACAGTTAAGTTGTTGGCCAGGGCTGTGGTCATCTCAAGACTCAACTGTGGTTCAGGGATTCACTTCCAAGCTCAGTCACGTGGGTGTTGCCCTAATTCTTCACAGGCTGTTTGGTAGAGAGCTCTGTCGGTGTCTCCAGGACATGGCAGCTGGTTTCCCCTGGCATGTGTGATAAGAGAGGGGGCAGAGGGAAGAGGGAGATTAGGAGGGAAGGATCTTGCTAGAGCATGCCACCCTTACATACCCCATGGCATTCTTTATAAACTAATCTCAGAAGTACCTTACATCACCTCTGCTGTGTGCCATTGGTCACACAGAGCAATCCTGGGACTTTGTGGACAGGGATTATCCAAAGGCATGAATACCAGGAGGTGGGGATGGTCATCTTGGAGGCTGCCTTCCAGACATTCCCATTGTTAAGCTTCAGGATCTGGAATTAGGATGGTTTCTCCAGTACTACTTTTGGAGAAATCTAGGAACTGAGAAGTAATTCTGTGATACCATTTTTTAAAATTTACTTATTTATTTGAGAGAGAGAGGCCGAGCGCGTATGAGCGGGGGGGAGAGGGGTGAGGGAAGGGCAGAGGGACAGGGAGAAGTAGATTCCCTGCTGAGCAGGGAGCCTGATGATGCCACTCAGAGCTCAATCCCAGGATCCCGGGATCATGACCTGAGCCGAAGGCGAACACTTAACCAGCTGAGCCACCTAGGCGCCCCTGCAATACCATTTTTATTGTTTTCTCCCTTCATTATATATTTCTCTTTAATAAGAACAAAATCATGTATTTTTTTTTTTTACAATTTGATATTTTCAGTTAAAATTTAATTTAGCTTTTTATGTGGAAATTTTCACACTTCAAAAAGGATAAAGAACAGCACAATGAACTTTCATGTACCCATCACCCAGTTTCAGTAATCACTAATTCATGGACAATTTTGTTTTCATCTGTATCCCATTCTCCTCTACCTTGGTTATTTTGAAAGAAATCCCAGTTATAATTTGATTATATGTATTTCATTATGTCTCTTTGAAAAATAGGGAGGCTTTTAAACATCTCAGTAATACCAAAACATTTAACAATAATCTTCGGTAACATAAAAACAAACCCAGGGTTCAAATTTTCCGTATTGTCTTATCCTTTGAAAGTAATTTTTATAGTTTGTTTGAATTAGGATCCCAACAACACCTGTATATTGCAAATTCCAGGATCTTTGTGTTTTCTTCTAAGAAACTTAGGATTTGGGATTTGAAGATTGACATTGGTCATTTCATTCATCTCCATCTTTCTATAGATGAGAAAACTTGCCAAGGGTCATGTGGCTGGTTCATTTAAGATTAGAGCTGAGATTTTCTGATTTTTAATCTTGGGTGCTTTTCATTTTAAGCAGAAAATATTTTAAGACATGCCTTTGGGGGACGCCTGGGTGGCTCAGTCGGTTAAGTGTCTGCCTTCAGTTCAGGTCATGATCCCAGGGTCCTGGGATCCAATCCCACATTGGGCTCCTTGCTCAGGGAGGAGCCTGCTATCCCCCCTGCTTGTGCTCTCTCTCTCTTTTCTCTTACAAATAAATAAATAAAAATCTTAAAAAAAAAAAAAGACATGCCTTTGGAAGAGTTTTCCATCCTTTGATTCTCTGTGTATTGTAGGCATTGACATGAATACAGATCCTTATCACCTGGATTTGGTTGGTCCAAGGTCTATTTATTCCAGCTGTCAGTCCGCTCAGGGCCACATGGTGGCAGTAACCACACCACCTCTCCCCTTTGGTCAGCCCCTTTGAAAGGTTAAGGTTAATATGAAGCGTATCTCTAAAGTAAATCCTAAGTCTTCCCCAGTGTGGTGTTCTCAATTTGCTGAGCTCCTCACATAGCCATTCTGGACATCCTGCCTTTGATACATTCTGCTGAGTCTGTATATTCTTTTGCTTATTTTTATTCAACATGATTGCCTGGAGATCACTTTGTATCAACTCAGTTCTTATTTTAGGAAGGTTTTTTTTTGTTTGTTTTGTTTTTTTAAAATACTGTACTACCATAAGCTTTAGGAGTCCATGGCATTGTCTTAAATAGCAGGTCACGGAGAAGGAACTCTTAGCCTGGCCCTGGGAGTCTTCACTATATGCTCTTTGCCTCCTTCTGGCTCCCAGGATGAATTAACTTAGTTTTGCCATTCATGGAGCTATAGCTCCTACCTCTTAGTAGGCCCAGTTGGATTTGGGAGGGAACTTGGTCAGGACTCTGTGTCAAACACTTAAATCCAGAAGAATGCTGAGAATCTTTGCCACGCGCTCAGAGTAAATGAGTATGGGTGTTTTTTCTTGTTCTCCACAGGCCCGTCAGCTCATCTTGCAGTATGGCTTAACTCTCAGTGACCTGGACCGACACCCAGAGGTAAGAGAGAGAGGGGCTGCTGTGTCTTTCTGTCTCCTTTTTTACGGCTGTCACTTACGCACGGACTCTGGATATCTTGTTGAGTCTAGGAGAAAGGTCAGTGAGTCATATTAGGTTTTTTCCTGGGATTTTGAATATTAAATTTGGCTAAGGTCACGAGGGGAGAGGTTGTTAGTTTCCAGTACATTCCCTGTGGTTTAACCCTGAGGGCTCAGTATGGGCGTAGTGAAGGGGGATTGAACCCAGAGCTTCCTGTGGTCCTTGTTCAGAAGTAGAAGAGTGAGCCGGCCCACGGAGCTTACCAGTAAGTGGAGATAAGAAGTAATTATCTGAGGCAGCCATGGACATTTGGAAACAGATTACAATGAAGTGTTATGGCAAAGATGGTTGAACACATGGGCAATCCAGAGGAGACTGTGGTTGATGAGGGTGAGCAGCATACTCATAGCTAGCATTTACTGAGCCCTTCTGTGTACTACGTGTTATGCCAAGGGCTAGGTGTGTATTCAGCTCCTTAATCTCCAGTAGTCTTGAGGGCGCATACCATCATCATCCCACCTTACAGGTGTGAAAAAGACACAGAGAGGGCAAGCCATTTGCCAAAGCCACGCTCCCTGTAACTGGTAGAGCCTGAATATGAATTCAGATGCCTCTGGTGCTGGAGCAGTGCTACTTAGAAGGGTTTGTGGGGAGAGGTAATCTGTGAAGAAGAAGAAACTTGAGCAGAACTCTGAAGACAGGGTGGCCAGGGGAGGAGCGAGCATTCCAGAGGGTACTGACCTGGTCTACTAACCTGTGTCGTCCTGGTACATGTGGGCCTCAGAAGGGTGAGTCAGAACCACAGGAGGGGCTCGTTTGGGGGACTTCTGTGGGCAGAGCCAGGGGCAGAGTGTCAATCAGTGTTCAGCACTGTGAGGAGAGTGGTTTGGGCTGAAGGTGGGCCTGGAACTCACACAAAGAAGGTTGCAGCCTTCCGGGCCCCAGAGAGTTGCCATCTTGTGGCCTGGCCCCGGGGTTAGTTCAGGGCGGGGAGAAGCAGTGCAGGCTGTCTCTTCAGACCAAGGGCAGTCTCCATGAAAGGATGGAAGCACAGTGAAGCTGAAGCTCAGTACACTTTATTTACACCTGTGCCATGCCAAGCAACTTGAACTGAATTGTACCCTGAGGTTTTTTCATACTGCTGTTTTAAATAACCATACTTAAGGCTCCCACATTGCCATGCAGAGTCCAGGAGCTTCCTTGGTTTCAGATCTTGAAAGATGAATGAACCTGTTTACTCCTGACTGCTCTTGGGGTTGGTAGTGCAATTTCCTAACAGTGGGAGTGGGCAAGCCCAGACAGGTGCTTTGGTGGGGTCATAGTGGGGGTGCCTCGGATAATTTCCAATCGAAGATCACGTCAAATGTGCATCAGCTTTATAACTCTTCATTGGGTTTTCTCTGTCTGCTCAAAACTTCCTTTCTTTTTGCCACGTTAGTATGGAGACTTCTGAATCAGGGTTTCTCAGCCTTTTTTCTGTTGCCCACCCCTCCCCCAGTGAAATTTTTTTTTTTTCCCAATATTTTATTTGACAGAAACACAGCGAGAGAGGGAACACAAGTAGGGGAGAGGGAGAAGCAGGCTTCCCGCTGAGCAGGGAGCCCCATGTGGGGCTCGATCCCAGGACCCCGGGATCATGACCCGGGCCAAAGGCAGACGCTTAACGACTGAGCCACCCAGGCGCCCCCCCAGTGAAATTTTAATACCATAGATGTACTATGTATCTTTTCTGTACTTGGGGGTGGTGTCACCCACATTGGGATTGTGTATTCAGTAATTCTAGCTCCTCCACAGAGAAGCCCATCAATGAGAAAAGGGAGTGTAATGTCATGGGTAAGAGCTGCACCCAGGTGTGGTTTCCAGACCCCATATTTCTTTCCTGGTGACCCTAGTGGAATAGCCTAACCTCCTAGAGCCTGTTTTTTGACTGCTTAAATGGGAATAACTATACCTAGCTAATAGGGCTGCTAAGCATCTGATGAGTTATTACATGTTCAAGCTTTGCACAGAGTCTCTTAGTAGTTTTGTATCTTCCCTCCCTCCCTCCCCCCCCCCAACACAGATTGACCTTGCCATTGATGGTGCTGATGAAGTAGATGCTGATCTCAATCTCATCAAGGGCGGTGGGTGAGTGTCATGGGGACTTTCTTGCTGAAGAGTATCTGCTGGTTAATCCTTAGCAAAGCAGAGTGGAAGGCAGAATAAACAAATGGCCACCGTGATGTATGTGAACTTGTCTTTCTACTACTAGGAAGTTGGATGGCTGTAGAGAGGGCTTGGCATTTCTAGTCAGGAGTAGCGGCAGTCTGCTGACTAGGAACCCGGGCCTCGCCTCTTCCGTGATATTATTTATCTTAATGGGTTCTCTGTATCTGCTTCCTTTGCTGATTTAAACTTTAAAAACCGTGTGAATTAAACCAAATATATTGTTGGGGCTAGTTTATTAGGTCTGTGGGCATTAGTGTGTGATCTTTGCCTTAAAGCTGCTCTTTCCCTCTGTGAGCAGTTAGTTATATATATTCATTCGTTCGTTTGGAAAACATTTATTGGTGAATGTTTCTTAAATGTTGATTTGGTGGGTAGGGAATGGTGAGTTGAAGAAGGTGAAGTCCTGTTCTTTCGGTTCTCATAATCAAGCAGACTGCAGTGACACAAAATATGTTTAGCATCTCACCGTGCTCTCCAGCTGTCAAATAGTGGACAGACAGGTTGTCCTTCTCACATTATAGACCCTTCCATTCATGCCATGCTCAGATGACCTTTCCCTGAGCATAGATGCATCTTAGGAGTGTGCCTGGCCTGACTGGGAACCATTTCTCCCCGACTCAGGCTCATGTTTTCGCAGTCCATTTACTAGAAGCAACACGTCTTAGCTCAGGCTGCCTTAACAAAATGCTGTAGACTGGGTGGCTTCAGCATCAACAATTTCTCAGTAGTTCTGGAGATTCCTGGCTTCAGTTGGCTGCCTTGTCACTGTGCCCTCAGGGTGGAGAGAGAGCACGTGAGCTCTCTGGTGTCTTTTCTTCTAACCCAGTAATCCTGTCAGACCAGGGACCCCCCTTACAACCACATTTAACCATAATTATTTCCTTGGAGGCCTCATCTTCCAAGTGCACATTGGGAGTTAGGACCTCAATATATGAAGTTTGGGACAGACACAATTTAGTCTGTTGCACAGCATGGTGGAGTTGGGGATCTCCCTCTAAGAATTACAAATTAAATTTCTCGTTAAGTGGATTTGGGTTTACTGCCTCTGACCTTAGTCTTCAAATTGAGTTTGTTTCCTACCCTGTGTTCATTTGCCTCTTCCTATCCCCAGAGGCTGCCTGACCCAGGAGAAAATTGTGGCTGGCTATGCCAGTCGCTTCATCGTGATCGCCGACTTCAGGTACAATGTCGAGTGTTCTGTCCACTGGGGAGGTAGATCAGACCCCAACCTCATCCCCATTTTACAGAGGAAGAAATAGAGAAAGGGAGGGGCTGTCTGACTTTCTGAGACAGATGGCGACTGAGGGCAGTGTCTTGGAGGATTTTGTTCTTTTTTCATGCTGAAGGTACATATTGTTATGTTACGTGTCCATTGGGAGGAGGAGGAAACAGCTTGTCACTCTGGTGACAAGAGCATGTCCTCATATATCATTCATTTGATCCTTGCAGGGAGCCTCGGGGTAAGGACAGGCCCTGCCCATGGGCAGTGACTCAGCATGCCCTGCTTCCTCTGGGCTCACACATGACCTTTGTTGTGCATGGTCTTTGACCAGGCTCTCAGATTCTCCTTCAAGGAGTCTGGTAGAAGGTGCTTGTGCTAAGCGTGTGAATTAAAAAAAAAAAAAAAAAAAAAAAATTGTATTTACTTATGAGATATTATAGCTGTAGAAAGAACATAAATAATGAATACCTGTATAGCCACAGCCAGTCATACCCAGTTTTAACATTTTTGTCATATTTCCTTCGAGTACCTCATTTCTTAAATAGTAGACCAGAGCCAGAACACTTGAAGCCCTGTGGTTGTCCCTGCTCTCTGCCCTTGCCCACTCACTATGTCTGAATTTGGTGTTTGTCTCTACCCTTGAGCTTATTTATACTTACTGTATTTTTTGACTTTCTTCCCAGGAAAGATTCAAAGAACCTCGGGGATCAGTGGCACAAGGGAATCCCCATTGAGGTCATCCCAATGGCCTATGTCCCAGTGAGCCGAGCTGTGACTCAGAAGTTTGGGGGCGTGATTGAACTTCGAATGGCCGTCAACAAGGCAGTAAGTGGCCAGGGAGGTTTCCCAAGGGCATTCCAGGTTCTCGGTGTGGTGTCCTCCTTTTTGCTTCAGTAGAGGTCCTCTGTTGCATAGCCTGGGTAGTCAGCTTTTACATATGTATTTTTTTTTTTTTAAAGATTTTATTTATTTATTTGAGACAGAGAGAATGAGATAGAGAGAGCACGAGAGGGAGGAGGGTCAGAGGGAGAAGCAGACTCCCTGCCGAGCAGGGAGCCCGATGCGGGACTCGATTCCGGGACTCCAGGATCATGACCTGAGCCGAAGGCAGTCGCTTAACCGACTGAGCCACCCAGGCGCCCATACATATGTATTTTTAATCAGATTATTGGTTCATTTTTAGAGTCCTAGCTTTATTAGTTTCTATATTCAAACTCATGTAGATATTACCACACTTAATGCTGCACATATTCTCTGCACAAGTGGGGGATTGATTCTTTTTCTCGGTCCCTTGGAGTCTGATGCTCCTCAGGTGATTGGATCTTTGTACCTGCGGTCTGGACTGCAGGGCTTCACGGTGGCTAAAAATGGGCCTTGGGAAGCACCCCGGGGCAGGAAGTTTTCCAGGTTCATGGTGTAATTTTCTTTTTCTCCTCTCATTTCATTCTGTTATTAAATGTGACAAGAAGTAGAATTTCCTGGGGGATGTGAACCCCTCCTTAGGAATACGCTCCAGAAACTTAGTGGAAATGTTTCTCTTCAGCTTCTAAAGTGGGCTGCACTTTTTTTTTCCTCTTCCACTTAAATAAACAAACTAGCAAAAGTAATAACCTAAAAACTAACTGTAATTATAGATATAACCGTATAACAGGTTTGGAAGATACAGAAGAGAAAACAAATGATCTCTAACTCTACCCTGATGCATTTTTTATATTGATGTTGTTTTTTGTAAAAACTCAGTCCTAATCCTAGTGGTTGTACAGAGCTCTGGAGTCTGATTCCCTCCGTAGTTGAAGAGCCCGGAGGAGACTATTGGAGAGGGAGGTTCTCTCTCATGGCTGGGGCGACTCCAGACAAGAGCGCCAGCATCCTGCCTTCCTGGGGCTCTTCACTGAACTCCCACCCCCTCGCCTCCAGCCTGCAGGAGCGGCCTAGTTTCCTTGCCTGTCACTGTGGTGTTCTGTCAACATTTGTGGTCCCAAATGCCTTCTGGTGCTCTAGGAATTTTGGACTAACTATCTAAAACTACCCCCTGCTTTTTTTTGACCCCAGAACGCAGCTCTGGGGGAGTGCCTGCTCGGGGAAGTGATAGGGGCGATAGCACTGCCTTATTTTGCATTACTGGGCACCTAATGTGAAGTGGTGAGAACGTTGCACCATGTGGATCGTCTGCTTTTGTTGCTGTAGTTTTTCATTCTAACCATAGCTAAGAATCGTTGAGCCCTTCCTCTGAGTCCTCACTGTGGTAAATGCTTATCCATGTGGTTTATACATAAGCTGCCTTCTCAAGTATGTATCATTATCCGCTTTTTGGAGTTGAGGAATCTGAGGCTCACAGAGGTTAATGACTCCTCTGAGCCGCCTCTATATCTGTGTGCCTTCAAGACTCAAATTCTGACGCCAGTAGCCCTGCCTTCTAGAAAGCTGAGGTGGGAGTACGGGCCGGAGCGGGTTAGTTAAGATACTTGTCTTTGGGCATCCCCTTCACTTTCCTGCCCGTCTCTGCCTACCTGTATCTACATCCTCTGTAAGTGTGGAAAATTACACCTTCTAGGGTCCTGTGGTGACGGATAATGGGAATTTTATCCTGGACTGGAAGTTTGATCGGGTGCACAAATGGAGTGAAGTGAACACAGCTATCAAAATGATCCCAGGTAATGTGAGTGGGGTTCATTGAGCATAGACACCCAAGCACTTTGTAACTGTCCCCTGCCTCTGGCCATAGGAGGCATGATGGGCGTGGGTTTTGTAAGACTTGGTTGGAAAGAAAAATTTCCTTTGTACCATGCTTGGAGTTTTTGACATCGTGCCTTTGCTTTCACCCCCCAGGAATAGTTATTGCTTACCTAGTGGCTTGTTGGGTGTGCATTTCACAACTCGTTTCAGTTGGGATAGGCGTGGAGTTGATGGAGTTTCAGAGGGGGTTTGCCTTGAAATAAGCTCATCCTGTCTGCATAGAGCCTTCCCTTCTAGAAGCTTGACTGTAGCCTCTTTCATTTTGGGGGGCTCTCTTCTTGTGTAGTGGGGGTGTAACGCAGGTGCTGCGCTGCATGTTAATAGGGAATGTTCCCATCCTAGAGCATGGAATCTGCCTCAAGGAGAGTTGTGCGTGGCTGTGTAGAAGGCATGCCTACAAATAAGATGGAATGTGCTAAATTTGCTAGAGAAGTACCAAGAGTCTACAGTGCATGTACGTTGCTTCCTTTGGAGAGTGTGGGAAAGTTCCCGGAGGAGAGGTGGCTTTTGACCTATGCCTTAGCATAGTGTAATCTAGACACTGCACTAAGTGTTTAAAAATGTCTCATTTGATTCTCCAGTTGGATGAGATCGTTACAGAGCAGGATAGGGGCATGCCAAGGGCTGCATTGCCAAGAGGGGAGCCCTGGATTGTCTGCCTCTAGACCCTGAACCTTTAGTCCTTCTTTGAGTGCCAGGTTGAGGAGGGGTGGTATGACATGAACAGTTGGGGTGGGAGAGCCTCTAATACTTGTAATAGGGATCTGGGGCCTTGAGTAAGGCTGGGTGGGCAGTGTAGAGGTGAGTTATGCGTCCAGGCCAGAGGAGGTATTGAAGGCCCATACGAGAGGATCAGATGGAGGAAGCAGATGTGAGAGACATCAGTCTTATTTATGGTATTGAGAGCATAAAGGAGTGTTTGCTGAATGAATAAATTCCTAAGAAGAAAGGATAGTTTTGTCACCGTTAATTAAATGTGCTAGATTCTAAGTAATCAATGCTATTTGGGAATGAAAATGTGTGAATATATGCCATGTAATAAGGAGCTAATTCTTCCAACCTTACCTTAGTCTGCTGTTTTAGTCTTAGACTGACAGTGTTGTCACAGATTTATTAATAAGCAAAAAAGAGGAGTTGAATTATGCTTTCTCTCTCACTTAGTGTTCTCATTTAATAGAAGAAATAATGAGCCGAGAGGGCAAGAGGAAGAGAAGATGGAGGAGAGGCCACTGTTAGTAAAAGGGGAGCATTTGCCCCTGATGATAATGTAGGTAAACCCAGGGGATTGTATAGGAAGCAGCTCACCAGTGTGGGCGCTATTCCCCTGTAGGTGGATTTCTTGCAGTGCCCACTAGGTAGCTCTGTTGCTCCTGCTCAGACCTTTCTTGGCTTACTGAGACATTGAGCTGTCCTTCATGAGGAAGTCTCTGCTATACTTGCCCTCTGCCCCAGTAAGTAGAAGCTACAGCCTAGAGAAGTTCAGAATCTTAGTAGGAACTTAAACTGAAGAAAATGAAAAAAGAGGCTAGATATTAAATCGTGCGACCAGAAGCATCAGTGTGGTTCATTGCCTCTCCTGTTTGCTCTTTTCTTTCCCTGATTTGGTCTGTTATGATACTGCTGGACCAAAACCCAGGGAAGGGAAGCAGGGCAAGTTTCCCTGTCATCCCTGTTGCCCTGCCCTTGCCCCACGTACATTTGTGTGTGTGAGGACACTTAGAGTTCAGCTGGACTGGTGCCTGGCTGGTCACTCCCTCCTTTGGATGTTCCATTGGGTTCCACCCAGAACACAGAGATTATAGAAGGGCCAAAGCTCGTGGATTCTGAGCCCCATGCTCACAGTGAGCCACCTCTGCCCTTTCACTACTGGGGGTAGTCAGTAACCTGAAGAGGGGGGTGCTCTGAGATCAGACCTTCGGCTCCTGCCATTCATCTCTGCTCTCTCTCTGAAGCCTTTTCTGAACCTAGTTTGACTTTCTCTTGGATCAGGCGGAGCTGTCACCTATATTACAGAATTGTTGGAATGGATGGGTCTTGCATGGCCACTGTGCTTCCTTTGGGAAGCTTCAGTTGCAGTGACGTGCCAGGGGCCTATGTTTCAGCACCTCCTTTCTCTGCTTCATGGCTTTTCCTCACTGATAGATGATTTTATTTGTTATGTATTGGGAGCAGTCTTGCGAAGTTTCAATCTAAAAATCCTTTTTTTTTTTTTTTTAAAGATTTTATTATTTTTTGAGAGAGAGCGAGCGAGCATGAAAGAGAGAGAGAGAGATCATGAGCAGGGGGGAGGGGTAGAGGGAGAAGCAGACTACCACAGAGCAGGGAGCCTAATGTGGGACTTGATCCCAGGACCCTGGGATCATGACCTGAGCCAAAGGCAGATGGTTTAACCAACTGAGCCACCCAGGTGCCCCTTAAAATTCTTTTTAATTGACATTGTTCAATATTACAAGAGTAAATGGCGAAGTCTCTTCCTTCTTCCCTCTACGTTTTCCCCTGTTAGATGGTGCTAAATTGCCCTCCATTATTGCACCAATTTACCCCTCTACTAACAATTTCCCCTACACACTCGTCCATCAGATTTTTTTCCTGATAGTTGAACAGTATTATCTCATTGTGGTATTGTGTATATATGTAAATATTTTCAGTAAATGTTGCTTAGAGTTGTAGTTAATTTGCATTGCTGAATGGTATTCCATCATAGTTGTGTGTGAAAAAAAAAGTTTGTATAGCCATTCTACTCTTGATGGGCATTTGGGTGTTACCAGTTTTTAGCTGTTAGGAAAAGTGGTGCTATGAACATTCTCGTATACATGTCTTTTGATGACCATGTGTGCCTACCAGTTGCATATATACCTAGGAGTAGAATTGCTGGATTGTTAGGTATGAATATGTTCAGCTTTAGAAGATGTACTAACAAATGTTTTCCTAAGTGGTTTTGCTAGTGTACTACTCCTGCTGTCTATGAGTGGGAGTGTCTTTGCATTCTAGTAAAATTTCATTATATATTCATTCTGGTGAGTGTGTAGTGGTTATCTTGTCATTTTCATTTGCATTCTCTTCACTAATTAGTTTGAGCACCATTCTAA